CGGCGTGGCTATTGCCAGTGATAGATGCTCCCATATCCAACCTTTGTGCAATTTGGTGTAATTTCTGTTGATATTATCAAGATGGCATAGTAAACTTGATTTGACACACTTTGGCACAGTTGAGGCAGGAGTGGGATCACTGAGTGAGACATAGCAGTGCCCTGGCTGCTGGATAAAAAACATGACGCGGCCTGTTGCATCATGTCACCGTCAATGGGCGAATGAGTCCGGCCAGAGTTGACAGTTTCAGCCACTTTTTTAGGAATGGCGTTGATACTCCACCCGTCAAAGCGGATGGCACTTTGTGCGTGTCCGTGTGCATTTTTGTGAGCTTCCTCGCGCTATATTTGTGTGCGATCGTGCGTGAGGGGCAGTTTGCCTCATGTTTCCTGTGATCGAGTACGATACTTCGGTGCACACGTGCGTGGCAGACGGTTCTTTAGTGGTGTGACGCCGTGAAGCTGTAGTGTGCCGCTGAGCAGCTCGAATGCGAAAAAAAGACACTAGATTGAAGCCCAACGTATTCCCCTGCGATATACAGTTTCAAGAAGCATATCGGGTTGCGTATTCTTTGTAACAGAGCACATATTTTTGTCACAAACAAGTGCTGAAGCAGACGCGCGCCGCCGCCTTCACACGACAGCATCAAAATCACCTTGCCAAACATTACCTTCACGGGCGCGCGCAACGAAACAAGAAAACAAGCATGAAAAGGTGCCCAGGGCGTGCTCTTACTCTCTCCACACGCGACAGCCAACCAGAACAAATGAGGAGAAATCAAGACATGGAAGCGAGGCCTCGTTTGGGGGCGACCGTTTTCGCAGACGAACCAACGAGACGAAAGCCTTTCCCCTGGCTGCTGTCCTGGCACGTATGGGCTACGCACAGTCCAATTACTTAGAATGTTTGCAAAACAGGATAGGATCTAAAACTAGAGGTGTCGTAGGGTAGGACGGGTGGTGAACATCGGCCAAGAAGTTGTGATGTTTGAGTGGTGTGAGTGAGTAGAGTAGTGCTGTTAGTCTATGTCGAAGAATCGGAGTTATGACGCCGCTGGAGTACTTTGTTGTAGAGTGTTGCCGGGACGGTGACCAGCGCTGCAGTTCCTTTTAGTGTTTCCTTTTGAAACATGTTCGAAGAATTGTGGAGTATGTCACAAAACGAGCGCTCAAAAAGGGCGCACCACCAAATTCTCGCGACGAAGCGCCGGAAGGATGCCTCGCGGTCAACGATAAAAAAAAAAGAAAACAAGCATCCAAGGACTCCCAGGGCGCGCGTCCCTCTCCCCTCGGAAGCGTGGGTTCGCCGACGAACCTCCTCTAAACGGCGGCCGAGCAAGCCCAGGAAATTTCTCGATGGAAAGGGGCGTGGTGATGTCGGGTTGCGTCATCCGTCGCGGACGGCCGTCGAACCGTCTCGCGCTTTCCCCCAGCCTTCGCTGTGCATCGCGCCGACGAACTGATGAGAATTTTCTGGAATCTCGCGCGGAAGGTATTTAACCGAGCAGCAGAGATGGGAGATCAGGAGAAGAAGGAAGTTAGCGCCAGTGTGCATGCGGTTATTCCGCCGCGTTTGTCGGTGAAGGTTTTGTCACTAGTGACAAAGCAGGGGAAGAAGAAAGTACTGTAATTACTCGAATCTAACGTGCACCTTTTTTACGGTTAAGCGAGTTCATAAATCGCATGCACGTTAGAATCGGGTACGAACGAAAAAATTACGGTCAATCTATTGCTATTGGCAAATCCAAAATGGTCGCCCCCTACGTGCGGCGGCACCTTTCCTTCCTCCGTGTGCGTCGGCATGGCGCGTCGACCATTTCTGCCTATGTGTTTCCCATGTGCGGCACTTCGTACGTGTGCTGAGGAGTTCGTCATCTAGTAGTGCATTAGCATCGACGGCGTGGAAGGGCCGACTCCAAAAACTCGAGTGCACCACGATGCCGCTTTTAAAAGAAAAGTCGTCGCGTGTGCAGAAACGGACGGAAATCGGGCCGCATCGCGGTCGTTCGGAGTTCCCGAAACGTGCGTGCGGGACTGGCGGAAACAAAAACGGAAGATTGTCGACAGCAAAGCTTCACGCAAAGGCTTCAGTGGACCACAGCAGGGTCGGTTTTCGCAAATTAAAGAGCTGCTCGGCGAGTATGTGCTTGAGCAGCGAGCTGCACAGCGGCCCGTGACGACAGAACTGGTCCAAGTGCGGGCTACGCAATTAGTCTTAGAAAAAGGTCTAATGCGGAGTCAGTTTAAAGCGAGCAGGTGCTGGCTAACTAACTTTATGAAGAGGAAAGGCTTTTTCCTCCGAAGGGGAACATGCATATGCGAAAAGTTTTGCAGAAGAGTACGATGAAAAGCTTCACAGTTTTCAGAGGTTCGTCCTAAACTTGCGGCGCAACAACGGCTACCTGCTTGGGCAAATCGGGAATGCCGATCAGACGCCTTTTTACTTTGACATGCCTGGCACCACAACCGTCGAGAAGAAGGGGGCGAAGCAAGTTCACGTGCTGGCATCGGTCCACGGTAAAACTACAGTGACGGCAATGCTCTGTTACACGTCAGATGGGCACAAGCTTCGCCCGTACTTCATATTTAAATGGAAGACGCTCCCGAAAGGAGTCGTTTTTTCGAGTGGTGTGATCGTGTGGGCCAGCGAGAAAAATGGGTGCGCGTTGCAATAGATGTCTTACAGGGTTTTTCTTTTTTTGCGGTGGAAATCGGGTGCGCGTTACAATCGAGGGCGCGGTAGAATCGAGTAAATACTGTATGCGCCAGAGTGCGTAGGGTGTTCCGCCTTTTGGGCGAAGCCTTTTGTCTTTCGTGACAAAGGAGGAGAAGAAGAGGATTTCCACCTGAGGGGTGAAGACTCGAGCTACAGGCAAGAGTGCGTGTCTACCGCTATCGAGCGAAGACGCGTGGCAACAGCTGTGTGTGTGAAGCCGACATGTTTTCGGCGAAGAAGTTTGGAGCCTGGAGAGCGGTCAATTGAAGACGCGAGGTTTCCTGGAAGAGGAACACTTCGGGGGCAGCGGAACGACAACAACGCTGGACTTTGAGTGAGTGATTCTCGGAAGAGTATCATCCAGACCTTTGTTCCAAGAACTTTGGACTGAATTTGTTGTTTCGAGTGTGGCTGATTGTACTGTGTAGTACGTTGTTTGATTGGTGACGTATTGTATTCAACTATTGTCGAGTGTGCATACTTGTGTATCGTTTTGATCTGCCATAATTGAGAATATAATTTCGTTTTGTTTATCAACTCTCGTCTCTGACTTGTTCTTTGGGCCACAGCCGGCGTCCGTTGGCGCGCCAAATAGGACCGCTTCTAAATTGTCCACGCTTTCGTGGTGCGGTTGGGGGGGCCGATACTTCGGCCCTTGGAATTAGCCCGGCGATCGCCTCCCTAATTAACGGGACCTGTGACAAAGTACATGCGAGGGGTGAATATTTGAGCTGCTAAGTGTTCTTGCGCTGTTTATGATGCGTGTGATTGCATGTTTAGCATGGTAAATTTGTTCCTGTTGTTTTAAATACCCTCTAAGTGATTTTGTGAGTTGTAATTGGTAGCTGCCGAGTATGCAAGTTTGTGCGACACCTTTGCTGAAAATATATGTTCTGTTTGTGCCGTCACCTTCTGGTTTTTAACTAGGTTTTTGGACCACAACCGGCGTTCTGTACTAAAAGAACCTAAATTTAAATTGTGTGTGCTTTCATGATATGTTTTGGTGGGCCAATACGTCAGCCCTTGGAATCTGCCCAGAGATTGCCTCCACACGAACGTAATCAGTGACCCTTTTCATTTCAGGTGAGTCAAACGGCCAGCATTCATGGAGGGTATTGGGACCTATACTCTATGAATTATTGGCCCTCCTAGAACAAACTGTTCACATATGCTGTGTAATAGGTACTTCTTATAATGATTCAGAATCGAACCTGTGACGTGCACTGACTAAACGTGTTATTTGCGGCCTATTGTGCCACGTAGGAATGCGTGTGAAAGCATTTATGCTGGGAGGAATGGCGGCACCAGAGTGGGTGCGACGTGGACTAGGCCCGTCCCGACACTTTGGGGGCACGCAACAGGCCGCACCTTGTTTTTTAATCTAGTGGCCGTGGAAGTGCAGTCGAGAAGCTCTTTTCTGAGAGGCACCTCGGTGGCATCCTTGTAGCACCTAATGTAGGACTCGGCTTGTCAAAGGCTGGAGGCGCTCGTCGTGGACAATGAGCTTCAATGTCCTCTTGCTGTCTTTATTGCCACGAGGTGCATAAACCAGTCAGGCACAAATTCTCAGTTCTGGTCACGCAGAAATTGTGTTCACAACTCAAATGCCCTCCTGGCACAATAGACACAGACTTCCACTCCTGTTATAAAAGTGAGCTGTCGTTAGAGAAGCGATAAGCTTGTTGGTTCGCTTGGAAGAGCAGACTCCTGTCAATTCGACCGCTATTATTAAATTAGATGTTCTGCTTAAAGGGGGCCACGACACCCAACAATTTGTGGTTTTAAGCATAAACTAGAAGTAGAGGGCATAATGTGCGTATAAAAAATACAAAAGTGGGCTGTAAAAAAATATTTCAGTGCAAAACAAGCCTCCTAACTAGTCGTTTGTAAACCGTGCCCACCGCCTTTGACTACCATTTTGACATGGCATGTGTCAGTAAGGTCATCTGCAGCAAAAAGCAGAGCCGTCATCTTCTATCACAGTTTCAACCACTACACATCATTCGATTTCAGTGCCAAGCTGAAGGAAGCTAATATATCTCAATTTCATGCATCGCAGACCACGAAGCAATATTTTTCGCTGGAGGGCAGACACTAGTACAGCTAGCAGCTTGTTATGTCGTAAGTGCCCCAGTGTTGCCCAACTCACTCATGTGCTTAAAGATTGACCCAAATAACACGAATTATGACCAATGATTGGGTGTCATGGCCCCTTTAATCTTGACTAGATGAAAGGTTCCGGCAAAAAGAAAAAAGGTATAGATAACTACGAAATGAAAACTTGCTTGGCGGGAGCCTTCTGGCTATTGGATCGAGCCACTTGGTGTTCCAGTCGTTCCAGTACAACGACTGGTATGCCGCTTCCCTTTATTCCCAATAACACAGACAACCTGAAAAGCAAATGTAACTTCATTATTCCAAAGCTTTTTTTTTTTCGGAGGGGTTTCTGGGCTACCTAAAACTAGTCTTTATAATGAAAAAAGAAGCTCAAGCAAATGAGAAAGAAAAGCGAATCAGACTTCACGGCTCCCTTCTGGGCCTTTGTTTAACTTTCGCACATTGTAGCAGAAGTGATGTCAAGATTGTGACTCCCCACTGTTGACAGTTTGTAGTTCATATGCATAACTTAAAAACTGCAAAATATATCACTCTAAACGCTGCTCGGCTTTATCTGTTGAGTCATATAGCCAAGCACAGCAAAAAGAAGGGTCCCTTCAGTTGATTTTCATTTTTTCCTTCAGCACTTGGGCCAGCGTTGTACTTTTTTTTCAAGCAAGGACTTTTCATTTTGGACAAGGTTGAAGAATGTAGTCGACCTACCAAAAATACTTTGTTCTGGTCCTTTGAAAAAAAAAAGACAGTTATAAATAAAGCATTATATCCCCAAAATTGCTTAGAAGTCCAATTCACTTTTTAAAAATCTTGACATCTAGACCAAAATGCAAAATTAGGACATGAATGGCCAAAGCTATCACTAGCAGCTCAAGCTATGACAACGCTGTACATATAAAGTATTGACAAAACTCTTATGCAAATAGACGAAATGACAGCCAAGAAAATACAAAACAGAGACACTGTGCATAGTAGCTCTAAAAATGCTCCGATGTATACACAAGTCCATGCTCTGGTAAGTGCATTGTAAATTGCATGAAAAATAAGGCATAGCTGCCATCATTAAAAGCAGCTGGTCTTGTAAAAGCTGCAACACATGTGAATTCAAGAGACTGCACGGTTCCCAACTGAACAGCATACCGACAGACAAGCTCTATTTTTCCCCTTGGCAAGTTTGGCAGACGAGACTGTTGACTGGATTGAAGGTACAGGAGTGTTGTCTTCCCCTAAAGACTTCTTGCAGCAACTAAGTACACAGAGTACTTGAAAATGAAAGTAGGATTTGAAAGGATTTCAAAGATCACATATTAATGAAGTTAAACATAGGTATAAGCTTTCCATCTATGCACCATGCACACGAAGCCTGAAAGGTTGATGTCTGTTTCAAATTCCCTGAAGTTTCAAAGATTGTGCGCATGTCGAATTAATGAAAACCTTGAAGAAGAAACTGACAGAGATTTGTTTATGCCAGCACAGGATGACAGTCCAGGAGAACTGTCCAACACATTTCAACAGTTTAGCACATGAAAGGGATGGGTCTGACTTCCGAGCACAAACTAACAATGTGCCAGACTATGTAATTCTTAGAAACTGTGAAATTTATGAGCCGAAAGCTTGACATGAATAACGGCATGCTGCAATGTAAAACTCCAAGTTTATTTCGACCACCTGAGGTTACCTAATGTACACCTAAACCCAATTACATGGTCATTTTTTTCATTTGACCCCCATCAAAACGTGACCACTGCCACTAGAAATACCAACTTTCAACTTATATTTTAAGTTCTCTCGTATTCACAAAGCATCCCAAGTGACTGAAAAAGCAATAAGAGCTGAACTAAATGCAGCGTTTTTGCTGGTGTCGGTGCGACCGTTGACAGTGGCCGTTGCGTCCATTTCAAGACTGCAGCATCGGTGCCGGAAGCAGTTGCATGGACCGAGAATCAATCAGAACACGGCTGGCAGCAACTTCTGCTATGTAAGGGCATCGTTACTGCCGCCACCTCAGATCCATTAGGTCGCCACCCGCAAGTTCTCAACTGATGCTTGTATTCGACTTAGGTTGTTCCTCACAAGCTTCTGCAGCAAGTGCTCTGGATTGCTTCTGTTTCCGAGTGCCATCCTCAAGTTTATCGGCAGACCCTAAGCCCGAGCTTTTTGAATACATGGCCTCGAAAATGAGCATCTTCAAACTTGGAGGCCATGTATTACAAACATGGTTTCTTTTTTCTCAAAAGTTCTCAAAAGCTGTGGCTACAAGTAAAATAAAGAAATATATCTTTTAGGCAGCACAGTAACTTGTTTCCCTCACTACAGAACTGTAAATACACTTAAAACCTAAATTCAGGGTTATTTCTTTTTGGCCCATTGACAGGAGGAGAGGTGTCAGGTTCATCCCCTTTGGTCTCAATGTGTGACACTAGGCTCAGCTGTTTCTATACCTCTTGGTCACCCTCTCTGGCAGCGTTATTGACATCACTCTTAGAGATGCAACACCAGAAAGCACCAGCGAAAAACAATGCCTGTGGTTCAGCTTTAAGAGTTGCTATAAAGTGCAATTTTGTACAATTGAATGTTGGTACTATTCTTTTGGCCTGGCAAAAATCCATCTAGATTCACACTGAAATTTGGTTTTCATATGCAAAAGAGTTGCTTGCAACAGCTCAGTATGTTTTAGAAAGATTGAAAGCATATCAATACGTCACCTTTCTGTCAATCATGTTGTAACTGCCCGGCAGCCCTCCATTGAGGAACAAATAGAGGGCTATATGCATGCGCTCTTGTACTCTCCTATGATTTATGGCTTACTTGCACAGGTTGGTGGGCATGACGATAGTTATAGAGCGAGAACAGAACGACGACAAAGGGACAAGAAGGAAACGAGCGCTCGTCTCCTTGTCCCTTTGTCATCGTTCTGTTCTCGCTCTATAACTATCATCATGTCATACCAACTAGCCCAAACCGCCACACTTCTAAATTAGTGAGCAGTTAGAATTTTCGATCTGTTATTTTTTGCACTTTAAACAGTGGCTAAACAACTTGCTAAACATGGTAAAGAAACTCATTTGTCTTAGCAAGAGAGGAATGTTCAATCCATCTCTTTCACCCTCCTATGCTACCCTCTGACGTTTTTGGTAGGACTTTGGTAGGAGCCAGGACAACCAGCATTGCCTGAAGCAAAGCTTCCAAGATAAAGAGACGTTTAACAACTTTTCCGCTAGGGGAAGAGCACATGCGCTGGGGTATCATAAAAATGGCAAACTATGCACTTGAATGTGTGGGGGTGCTGACACTCCCTGTAAAGTTGTTTGCGCCTCATTATCGCGCATAGGCCCCATTTAAGGTTTGCGACTACCATGTGGTAGGGGGGTTGTTTCTTATCACCACCATCATCATCATGGTTAGTGCGTAGCGCCGGCAGTGACGCCTGGTGGCAGGCCTCTGAGGCATCATCTAAGATATGAACGGTCCTCAGGCAGGTGACGGTTTGCACGAACAATTGTCTCTAGCGGTGGATTGCCGTAGACGGCCCCGCAGGCAGTCTGCGGTGGGCCCTTGTGGTAAGTCGAGCATTGGTGAAGCTGCCTTGTGTGGGTTCTTATTTTTGTTGTTTTTGAGTGTTGCGTAATATTGTATAAGGTTGTTCTAGCGTGTGGATAACAATGTATAATCATTTGGCTGACGATATCGCCGTTCTAAAAGTGGTTATTAATTAAGTGTGCGAGTTGTTTGGTTGGTTTCAACAGTGTCTACTGTGTCCGTTCACTCCAAGAGCTTGGCTCTCTCTACTTCGAGACCCTACACTGGCTGCCCAGCGTGGAGCTCTTGGAGCATCGGACAACAGTTTTCGTGGTTCGGTACAAGCTTTCGTTTGCGCCGGGGAAGAGTAGGCCTAGGGTGCCTAGGGGGACTTCCATAGTTAGCGTCGGCGGTGTAAGAATGTCAGTTGGGATAAGAGCCATGCAGTCTGCATCCTGGGGTCAGCAAAGCTTAGAGCACGTGGATTGTAGACTAAGCCCGAAGCGAGTGAGTGCGGAAGCCTCGTGGGTGGTCCGATTTTCGGTAAATGGCTTCTATCTCTTTTGGGCTCAGGGAGTCAGGCGTCGTTGCTGCCCTGTCTTGCGGCTCGACGTTGGGGCATCGCGACACCGTCCGGGACAGTGGACGACGGTCACTCCTGTGTGCGGCAAGCGAGTAGGGCCACTTTACAGAGTGGACGTCTCCTTGCGGCTGCCTCTTCTGTGCCTAGGCTAGGTGCTGGGTAGATGCCGGTTGTTGTCAAGCGACTCATTAGGCCTAAGGTTTTGCGCAGCCACCTGTCACATGTAGCACAACTAGGTGGATCGTGGCGTTGAGGTGTTGCACTGTACTTCCGTCACTTTTTTTTTTATCTTGCGATGCACAAGTTAGGAAAAGTGACTTTTATTTTATTTTTGAGCTGGGCGTCTTGGCCACCAGCGATGTGTTTGCTAGCAGTATTGACCATCGTACCACGTGGACGAGGAGCCCGAAGCTCCCTTCGCTTCGGCCTACTGCACTGTTCTTTCGAGTGTCTTGAATGCACGTAGCAAGTGTGATGTACCTGTGGCTGGCTGTCTTCTGCACATCGTCTTCGCCGTTGGCCAAGAATGCGGTCGTGAGTTCGGGCGATGGACATGCCTGGGACCTGCGCAACTTCCTGCAGTCCGGCGTTCTCGCGATTGCTGGTCGCAACCAGAAAACCTGTCCGCGCGAGTGGCGGTTCCTCGCGCCGACGGCAACCTTACCGTTGTGGGACTGGTACTGAGGTGAAGTCGTCGAGCCGGACAGTGCAGCAGTGTCGACCAGCAGCGGTGTCGTGGTGCACGGACGTTCTTTGGAGACATGTATTGTCATTTTTTATTACAGCTTGTATAGCTTATTCTTTTGTTTTTTTTTTTTTTCAGGATATGGTTTGAATTAAAGTTGGGGAGATGTGGGGGTGCCGATACCCCCAGTAATGTTGTTTGCGCCTCATGCCGCACATGTCTCGAGCATAGGCCACATTTCAGGTTCACAACTACCGTGCGGTAAGGGGCGTTGTGCTCACGAGCGTTTCTTATCACCACCATCATCATCATCATGGTTAGTGCGTAGTGCCGGCAGTGGCATCTGGCGGCAGGCCTGGGTGGCGGTGCCCGATATATGAGCGGTCCTCTTTGGCGGGTGGCGGTTTGCGCGAACGGTTGTTTAGCGGTGGGTCTGCCGTAGATAGCACCGCGGGCCCTCTGCAGTAGGCCCTCGTGGTAAATCAAGCGTT